CTTGAAGTTGATTGGTCCACACCCGAGACAGCTTTTCTTAGAGCCTAGTCTCCATTGGTGTTGGACCAGATGACGCCAAAAGGCGTACTTTCTTTTTGTTTGCATTTTGACTGCTTGTGTTGTGGTTATTGCAAACATGATGCCTTGTATAAAGGTGTCAGTTTTTCAACCAGTTGAAAGGGTAAAAACCTGTTTCTATGTTTTGCCACTGGTAAAGGAGATGTCTCATAGTGTAAATGCTTACCCCGAGCTCTCAATATTCTGATAGTGCCTGTCTTTGAGTTGTACGCCTTTTGGCGTCATCTGGTCCAACACCAATGGAGACTAGGCTCTAAGAAAAGCTGTCTCGGGTGTGGACCAATCAACTTCAAGGACAGTGCATATCATTATCATCATCAGAGTGGTTTATTTTTGTTTGCATTTTGACTGCTTGTGTTGTGGTTATTGCAAACATGATGCCTTGTATAAAGGTGTCAGTTTTGTACCAGTTGAAAGGGTAAACACCTATCACTATATTTTGCCACTGGTAAAGGAGATGTCTCATAGTGTAAACTCCGGTGACACCACGCAGGAGATCTGAACGAGTTTATGTCACTACACCGAAAAGAATGCTGGCTTTTGAAGACTCGCAGAAAGTCGTCATCCCCCCTACCCCTTAACTTGCATAATAAAGACTTGAACAAAATGTTCATGAGCGTCGTTGTCGAGAATATTAAACTGACCCTCCACATGAGAACAAACACTTTTTTTTATAAACATATTTTTTTTAAATCTGTCCCTCCACATGAGAACAAACACTTTTTTTATAAACATATTTTTAAAATTTGTCCATCCATATGAGAACATACACTTTTTTTAATAAACATGTTTTTTAAAATCTGTCCCTCCACATGAGAACACACTTTCTTTTATAAACATATTTTTTAACAATCTGTAACCCCTGGCGCTACTAAGTGAGGGTCCTAAGCGTTTTTGCCTTTAGTTTGGTTACGGAGAGCGCCACCACTGCCGATAATCATTACATTCCAAAAGTGTTCTCGAGCACAAACACACAGAGACACAATCCGCCACTCGACAGACGAGTAAAACCTGACGGAGACCGCATTTTCCGACGTGACTTTTCACTCCGGGAGGGTCACCAGAGAGTAGCCGGTGGCTGGATGGGCTTTGCCACATTTAGAAAGGATAAGTGCGTGCAATACTGTACCCCCCCCCACCACCACCTCGCGAATATAAACACCGTCCAAACAACGCCAGTTTGGTAAGACAGTGATACGATTAATAACGCGTGATGCGTTTATATATGGGACTTCATCTTCTTGGTTCTTTCGGTAAAGTCACGTAGAATGGAAATAATAAAATAATAAAAATAAAACATAATAAAAATAATTCTCACGACGTTTCGGCCACAACGCAAGCAGCCGTCCTCAGGTGAAGAACAGGTCTGTCGAGAAGACAGAGTCTGAAAGTCTGGGGTGTTTCATTCAGACTCTTGTCTTCTCGACAGACCTGTTCTTCACCTGCGGACGGCTGCATGCGTTGTGGCCGAAACGTCGTGAGAATTGTTTTATTTTTATTATTTTATTATTTCCATTCGACGTGACTTTACCGAAAGAACCAAGAAGATGAACCACGGCCCTACTGCATCCCAAACCACGGCCTGCCTCTCCCGTCCAGGTGTCTACGTGGGCAACTCTCCAGCGAAGCCTTCGGCAGATTCTGTCGGCGTCTGGTTGAGCTCAGGGCTGGCGAACTTCCAGCCTCTGCCAAGGCGTCTGTACCAGCGTGCAGGAAGAGTTCCGTAGCTTTGAAACACCACTCTGGGTCGGGTACCGTAGAGCGCCCTTCCGCCAGCAGTGTTGTGCGCAGGTCGTTGCAGGGCTGCGCATTTTGCTTTTAACCAATACAGTATATCATGTATCTAAAAAAAAAAACTTGCCGTTGTTATAATAATGATAGGGTTTTTTAATCCATTTTCTGGCAACAAAACTGAAACTTTTTTTTTTACAAGGAGTCATGTTTGCATTAACCACAATACCTGCAGTCAGAATGCAAACAAAAACACACTCTGATAATATATTGGCATTGTCCTTGAAACTGATTGGTCCACACCAAAAAAAAGGTTTCCGTTTTGTTGCCTGAAAAAAGGGTAAAAAAACGTATTATTATATTTTGCTACTGGCGAAGGAGGCCTCATGATGATTGCCGTTGTTATTTTAATCACGTTCAGGTTTATTTATTTTTTTATGCCTGAGTGGATCTGGGAGTGAGGCCCAAGACCGGTTCTGATATCACTCACCACAGATGTTGTTACCCCGTGGCTGGGCTGATAACTCACCTGTGTGCGTATTAGCGCGGTGTGTTGTTCATCGAGACGACACCGCTCCCTAACACACAAGAGCAACACAGACACACAACAACCGCCATTCGCCACTAAGTGGCGGTGACGTCACCACGACGCTTGTGCCAGGCCATGTGCACCTTGAGGCCACGTGCACCTTGAGGCCACGTGAAGTGCCGAACGCCCGCTGGCAGGAGGTCATGGGGCAGACCCAGGTGCAACGGGTCGACTGATTGAGATGACCGAGATGACTGGCTGATGCACCACCTGTGCCCCCTACTGTACCAACTTGCTGTGCTTTAGCCACCCGGCGCTCCGCTCGTTGTTGTGAGCGTCGCTCCTCCGCCCTCCGTTGTTGTTGGAGGGCGACTGCCTCCAACTGCCCAGTAGCGTCCTTCACGAGCCTCCTCCACTGAGGCCGATCTTGACACCGCTTGTACCAGTCATCGGCAAGTCCATTCAGCTCCACGTCCTCCTGTACCACATCACTCCATCTCTTCTCTAGCCCGTGCCGCGCCCGTTTAGCCCCCTCGATCCGGCCGAACAAAGGCTGTTTAGGCATGCGGTGGCTGGCCATGCGGGCTACATGACCCAGCCAACGCAGCCTTGCCTGCCGGAGGAGCTCACTGATGGGACTTTGCCCAGATCTTTCAAGGATTTGTGAGCTCCTCACACAATCCAGCCTGCAGGTTAAACCCAGGATTGATCGTAGGCAGGCCAGCCTAAATGTTTCCAACCGGCAACACACACAGACAGACACAGACATTCGGCCAACGTTCACCACGCTGGCCATGCGGGTTGGTAAAATCGGTGAGTATCAGGAGTACAGTTCTGTACACTAAAACAGTGGCATTAAAAAAAAAAATTTGCTGAACCAATCTTGGTCTATGCTGTTCACCCATCAAGGAAATATCACCAGGCTCACACCTGCTCAGCTCGCGAGGTCCTGGTGCATTCCAAGCGATTTGGACATATCCCAAGCAAGTTTGCGTCATGATTAATAAATGCGCACGCTCGACTCTTAACCGCGTGACAGACACCTAATGGCCTCGACGATTTGCCAAAGGCACAACGCGCACACATCACACACACACACAGAGTGCAATATCATTTTTGTTTTTCCCTTTCTCAGATCAGGTTAAGCGAGTCTAGCGATGTCCCTTTATTTAACCATCAACAAGGGAATGCAAATACAGTGCAAGTCGAGCAGAGGCGCAGTGGTTAGCGAGTTGAGTCGTGAACTTGACAACCAAAACGACACAGAACCCCCCACCCCCTCGTATAGCATCCACAGACTTTTCGATTTAAAGCTTTCGTGACTGCAGGGATTCATATTCTTGGTTCTTTCGGTAAAGTCACGTAGAAGGGAAATAATAAAATAATAAAAATAAACCAATAAAATAATTCTCACGACGCAAGCAGCCGTCCTCAGGTGAAGACCAGGTCTTCACCTGAGGACGGCTGCTTGCGTTGTGGCCGAAACGTCGTGAGAATCATCCACAGACTGTTGGGGCAAATGCTGCTAGCGACAGGCACAGTTCTAGTCACGGTTAACATGAAGTGTAAAGTTAAAGCGATGTCCTGCTCAATAAGCAACGAGGCATGTGTGTGTGTTGTCTCCTACTAACAGCCCTGAACCGGTGGTGGAAATTCCACATTCCCATGGCGCGGACGCGGGCGGTAGGTGACCAGTCTCTACGTAGCAGAACCACTGGGTTGGCTTCCCCCGCGATTAAGTAGTACCTGTTTTATCGACCACCGGATAGCGAGGCGAGATGATGGGCTGAGTCAACCTCCCCCTGGTCCCACCACCACCTTCCCCAACCTCCTGTCAAAACCACAATTGCATACCTGTCAACCCCTTATCAGTGCGCCTGCCTTATTACAGACCAATTCAGACCATGTTGGTCACCCCGTGCCCCTAATAAATATCAACGTTTATCCTACAAAGTCCCATCATCACAAGGGAGAAACACAAACGAATAGACAATCACCATTGCTACACTCACCACTAGTACACTCACCACTACACTCACCACTAGTACTCACCACTAGTACACTCACCACTACACTCACCACTACACTCACCACTAGTACACTCACCACTACACTCACCACTAGTACACTCACCAGTAATACACTCACCACTAGTACACTCACCACTACACTCACCACTAGTACACTCACCACTACACTCACCACTACTACACTCACCACTACACTCACCAGTAGTACACTCACCACTAGTACACTCACCACTACACTCACCACTACACTCACCACTAGTACACTCACCACTACACTCACCACTAGTACACTCACCAGTAATACACTCACCACTAGTACACTCACCACTACACTCACCACTAGTACACTCACCACTACACTCACCACTACTACACTCACCACTACACTCACCAGTAGTACACTCACCACTAGTACACTCACCACTACACTCACCACTAGTACACTCACCACTACACTCACCAGTAGTACACTCACCACTAGTACACTCACCACTACACTCACCACTAGTACACTCCAGAGGTCGCAAACGGGTTTTGATTCCTTACCCGTACCTGTACCCGGCCGCACCAGGGTCGCAAACGGCTGTCCGTACCCGTACCCGGCCTGGTACGGGTAGCCGGGTATCGGGTAGGGTACGGGTATCGGGTACCCGGTTGCGACCTCTGGTACACTCACCACTACGTACGTGTCAACCCCTTATCAGTGCCCTTGCCTTATTACAGACCAATTCAGACCATGTTGGTCACCCCGTGGCACCTGGGTCTGCCCCGTGACCTCCTGCCAGCGGGCGTTTGACACTTCACGTGGTAGCCTCAAGGTGCACTTGGCCTGGCACAAGCGTCGCGGTGACGTCACCGCCACTTAGTGGCGAATGGCGGTTGTTGTTGTTTTAAATCTCAACGTTCATCCGACAAAGTCCCATCATCACAAGGGAGACACACAAACACATCGACATTTTAAATCCTTTATATTAAGTTCACTTGCTTGCTTGCGCGCTTACGACCGTGCAAATCTTTAGGTCGTTTTTTAACCCACTTCCCGTGATCCAATCGAGCTGACATTTTGCACACAGACTCGTTGTGCGTGACAATTTATTTTCGTGAAAATTTTTTTCCATAACTTTACACTTTTTAGGAAAAAATAAATTATATTTAATTACCAATTGCTTCATGGTGGCAGGCAATCATCTGACCCATAGGTGGCAGCCATCTCAAGCCAGAGGACGAGAGGACTCTAGCCGTCACGCATATAAAGGATTTATAGTGAAAAACTTTGTTTTTACGGGTTATTTTTGATTTTTGTAGCCCCTATTGAACCGGCTGTTCGCCGTGTGAACCCTAAAACACTCAATTCCCCATCTACAAGAACACGGGGTTTATGGGGTCGTCAGCGATGGTGATTTCACCACCAGATCGTGTGCGTTGGTCAACGGATGAAAGGTAACAACAACAAGCGGTGGGTTGGCGTGGCTCTGGTGGTGGGCTGACTGGGCCGGATCCGTGAGTCCTTCCGTTCTCGGCCAGTGTCAGATGATCCTCGTAGCAAATGCAGCTACACGTGTAGTAGTAGTAGCTACTACACGTGTAGTAGTAGCTACTACACGTGTAGTAGTAGCTACTACTACACGTGTAGTACTTGTAGTAGTAGCTACTACACGTGTAGTACGTGTAGTAGCTACTACACGTGTATGTAGTAGTAGCTACTATACGTGTAGTACTTGTAGTAGCTACTACACGTGTAGTAGATACTACTACACGTGTAGTAGCTACTACACGTGTAGTAGCTACTACACGTGTAGTACTTGTAGTAGCTACTACTACTACACGTGTAGTAGCTACTACTACTACTACACGTGTAGTAGCTACTACTACTACACGTATAGTAGCTACTACTACATACACGTGTAGTAGCTACTACTACTACACGTATAGTAGCTACTACTACATACACGTATAGTAGCTACTACTACACACGTGTAGTAGTAGCTACTACATATGTAGAAGCTACGGGCCCCGCACTTTCAAGGGCCCCGCGCTAAATGCTTTCAAGCTATCAATTTCGGTTCAGCGATTCTGCACTTGCTCTATTACTAGAGTACTATGATACAATATTTTATATAAATGTATTTTTTGTTTTCTATCTACGTGACTTTACCGAAAGAACCAAGAATATGACTTCCTGCAGTCACGAAAGTTACGTTAAAAAATGTCTTTTAACATTTACGTCTTTTTTTATTTAAAATTTAGGGCCCCTTTTATAACATTACGCTACAGGCCCCCCCACCCCCTCCCCAACACCCCCCTACCCCCCTACCCCCTCCCCAACACCCCCCTACCCCCTCCCCTACACCCCCCTACCCCCTCCCCTACACCCCCCTACCCCCCTACCCCCTCCCCAACACCCCCCTACCCCCTCCCCAACACCCCCCTACCCCCCTACCCCCTCCCCAACACCCCCCTATACCCCCTCCCCTACACCCCCCTACCCCCTCCCCTACACCCCCCTACCCCCCTACCCCCTCCCCAACACCCCCCTACCCCCTCCCCAACACCCCCCTACCCCCCTACCCCCTCCCCAACACCCCCCTACCCCCTCCCCTACACCCCCCTACCCCCTCCCCTACACCCCCCTACCCCCTCCCCAACACCCCCCTACCCCCCTACCCCCTCCCCAACACCCCCCTACCCCCTCCCCTACACCCCACCCCCCTACCACCCTCTACCCCCCACCCCCCTACCACCCTCTACCCCCCACCGCCACCCACCGCCCCCCTACCCCCCACCCTACCACCCCCCCTACCCCCCACCGGCTCCGCACTTCGCTTCATCCGGCACCGCTCCGGGTCTGACCCCCCCCCCCCCCACGGCGCACGCGAATTCCGCTGCCTCAGCAGGCGGCAGCGGCAGCGTGACGCGGTCCCTTTAAACCCCCCCACCCCCACACGCCCCGCCCCCCCACGCCCCGCCCCCTACACGCCCCGCCCCCCTACACGCCCCGCCCCCCACACGCCCCGCCCCCACACGCCCCGCCCCCCTTTCAAATTTCCCAGCGCGCTCAGGCGCGCCCCGCCGCGTCGCGCCACCCCATTGGCCGCGAGCGGCGGCGCGCGCCCGGCCGCGGCCAATCGCGCGCGGCGAGACGGCGGTGCTCGCTTAAGCGCGCTGGGAAATTTGATGAGTGGGGGGGGGTGACTAAAAAACACAAGTCAGATACCACCCCCAGCAGCAGCAACCACAACCATCACCAGCAGCAGCAGCAACCACCACCACCACCACCCCCAGTAGCAGCAACCACCACAACCACCACCATCAGCAGCAGCAACAACCACCACAACCACCACCACCAGTAGCAGCAGCAACCACAACCACCACCCCCACCACCAGCAGCAACAACCACCACAACCAGTAGCAGCAACCACCACACCACCACCACCACCACCCCCAGCAGCAGCAACCACCACACCACCACCAGCAGCAACAACCACCACCACCCCACCACCACCAGTAGCAGCAACCACCACAACCAGTAGCAGCAACCACCACCTCCACCACCAGTAGCAACAACCACCACCAGTAGCAACAACCATCACCACCACCATTAGCAACAACCACCACCCCACCACCCCCACCGCCCTGCTGCCCGTACAGGGGGAGGGAGGGAGGGAGTAGGAGGAGGAGTAGTAGTAGTAGGAGGAGTAGGAGGAGTAGTAGTAGGAGTAGTAGTAGTAGGAGGAGTAGGAGGAGGAGGAGGAGTAGTAGGAGGAGGAGTAGGAGGAGTAGGAGGAGGAGTAGGAGGAGTAGGAGGAGTAGGAGGAGGAGGAGTAGTAGTAGTAGGAGGAGTAGGAGGAGTAGGAGGAGGAGGAGGAGGAGTAGTAGGAGGGGTTGTAGGAGGAGTAGGAGGAGTTGTAGTAGTAGGAGTTGTAGTTGTAGTAGTAGGAGGAGGAGTAGGAGGAGGAGTAGTAGGAGGAGTTGTAGTAGTAGGAGGAGTTGTAGTAGTAGGAGGAGTTGTAGGAGGAGGAGGAGTAGGAGGGGTTGTAGTAGGAGGAGGGGTTGTGTTTGTGTGCGCCGGGGATGGAGGGGATGGCGACGAGGTGCCGCTCTGCGGGGCAGTCTCCGCGCTCCGCTCCGGTGATGTCGGACTGACGTCGACCTGATGTCGACCTGATGTCCACCTGCCAATGGAGGCAGCAGCAGCAGCAGCCGCCAGGGGTAATGATTACTACTCGTGTCGGGGTGGTGGTGGTGGGAAGAGAAGGTGGTGGTGGTGAAGGTGGTGGTGGTGGTAGAGAAGGTGGTGGTGGTGGTGGTGGTAGAGAAGGTGGTGGTGGTGGTGGTACAGAAGGTGGTGGTGGTGGTGGGAAGAGAAGGTGGTGGTGGTGAAGGTGGTGGTGGTGGTAGAGAAGGTGGTGGTGGTGGTGGTAGAGAAGGTGGTGGTGGTAGAGGTGGTGGTGGGGGTGGTGGTGGTGGGGGTAGAGAAGGTGGTGGTGGTGGGGTAGAAAAGGGGGGGGTGGTGGTGGTAGAGGTGGTGGTGGTGGGTGGTGGGGGTAGAGAAGGTGGTGGTGGTGGTGGGGGTGGTAGAGAAGGTGGTGGTGGTGAAGGTGGTGGTGGTAGAGAAGGTGGTGGTGAAGGTGGTGGGGGGGTAGAGAAGGGGTGAAGCTGGGGGGGTGGGGGGGGTGTGAGCAGCAGCTGGGGGGGGTCTAGCGGGACCCCCCCTCCCTCTCCTCCCTCCCCGACGTGAGAGCGGCAGAGTGGCGAGCCAGCCACGTGGTGGTGGAGGTGGTGACACAAAGTGTTGTGTGTGAGTGTGAGTGTCTGTGTGTGTCTGTGTGTGTGTGT